GAATCTTTGTTGTGAGACCATGTTGTGGAAGCAGACGTTGTTGATGTGATGATCAGCAACATACTCACGTGTGGGATGAAAATTTAACAAAAAACGGACCAATGAGGCACTGGCAGATTCTTCGTTGCAAACAATTTAAAAGAGCAACTTCTCTCTTCTGAGACAAAGCATTCCTTTGGATTCGAACACCTTAAGGGGTTTGCATCGCCCTGCATTCTTTTCCTAGGCGGCACAAGTTCTGCATGTATTGTGATGGGTGGCACCTGAACACTAAGATATGACATTGAAGTATAGTATTTTGAAAGTGAAAAAAATTGAAACTCTTGACCGGTGGTGTCCCCCTCGTCGCTGACGCTCTTTTTGACTCATTCGCGTCGGTTTCGTCAGCCACACCTCAAGGTTCCTCTCGGGGACTCAAGCCACCAGTAGGCCATCCAACCCGGGAGTTGCCTCCCGGATCGCCACCACCCGCCTCCTTTCTCCCTCGGCCCCTCCCGCCCACTCCACGCCCCGCCATGGACGACCCGCCAACCGACGCCGACCAGCCGACCCTCAACGCATCCTCGACCAAGTCCCGATGCCCGCCCTTCGATCCCACGAGTCCCGGCGTACGCATCAAGGCGGTCGGCCCGGACTGGGAGCTGGACCTGGACCCGCCGGCGGAGAGGGGCGGATCCGGCGAGCTGGGCACAGAGGATGGCGGCGTTGGGCCCCTGGGGCCGGCAGAGGGCGGCCCGGGAGGCCTGTCCGGGCTGGACGCCATCCTGCGGCAAGTCAGCCAGTACATTGGGCGGAGGAAGGTGGGAGGCGTTGGTGTCGATCGATTGATCGATTCTGGGATTGAAATTGAGAAAGCATCGCCTGGCAAGGGGTGATGCGCGGGTAGGGCGATCGGGTTGTGTTGGGGGCGGGGGGGCGGGTTTGGGTCGCGGTGGCTCGTCGGGTCAGTTTCTGGGTCAGCTGGGTTGGGGCGCGGACGCCTTGGGCGTTGGCGAGCGCGACGGCGTCAGTTTTGCTGCCTCTCTCGAATGCTTTCTTGGGCATGAGGCGCGTTCGGTCGCTGAGGGGCAAGGCAGGGTGGCTGGGCCGTACGGAAGGCGGCGCTGGGGACGTGTTTTGCCACGAGTACGCCGGTGACGTCATCGGCGATGCGGAGTGATGGCTATCAGCCGGGCTGCAGGCAATCGGCACCCAGTCGGTCGTTGGCACTGACAGCGGGAGGCACAAATCACAAGCGCTGATGACACCACAGGAAACATTCCCATTCCACGCAGTTGGTGACCATTGAAAAAAATGTGCATCATTGACCGTTGTGTAGCTGTGCCATGCAGTTGTTTTAGTTGATAGCGTCAGTGCGCAGGGCATGTCAATGATTGCAAGTACGCAATGTTTATTGCTGATACCGTGGGTGCATCAGCAACAAAACGTGTGACTAAATCGGCAGCAGCACGCAGTGCTAGCTACATTGCCGGAACCACGTTTCACCTGCGCACTTAGAACATCACTCAGCTCTCGGTTTCAGCAAACAACAAGCCGCAGGGAACTCGTCGTTTGATCGAATAAGATACAGTTTCACAAAATTGCTTCCCGACTTACCCAAATTCACCCCGCTTGACTTGCTGCTCCTGACTACAGAGCGCTTCCCTGCGGTTTACAGGCATTCCATGCATTCTTTGCTGCTGAATCTGAACCCAACGACATTATCCTTTGAGACACGTAAACAGCCCGGTATTGTGGAAGTTCTGCACCTTCACATGCACCGCAACTTACGAAACGCAGTGGCTTCCAGAACAGTCCCTGTCACTGCCACGTGGCTTTTCGTAGCGCGTAGTAATGGCATAGGTTACGGCCCACTAGGTTAGTGCCCATAACCCCAGATTTTGACGTGCTTCGACCAAGTTAAAAGATTCCATGTGACAAAATGGACAGCATGTGGAATCAATGACCACCCAGGCTGATATTGTCCAGTTGAATCTGCGGGACGGATCACGCTTTCCGAGCAACGCTTGTTGATGTGCTTTCCGACCCGCTTTTCGCTTGCCTCATAGATGCACGAACAATCCCTGGTGGCTCTTCTGGAGGTGATCCCTGAAGAAGTGGTGGCAGCAGCAAGAAACAAGGTACCGCGAATTCTTGTCGTCGATAATGGATGTGTGGAGCCTTCTCTGGCTTGGGTGAAGATTCTGGACTCAGCAGGCGCAGAACTATATCGAAAATGGACAAGCAACGGCCCTGGAATCTTTTGCTGTGACGAGCGTGAGTTCTGGGATAGGAAAATTTGAATTGTCCATTCGAAGATGCTAAGTACACCTTGACTATCGTTCCACGAATGGTACTTGAAGTAACTTGCATACGCAAAGCGCGTCGAAAACATTGCTGTAACAGCCTGTTGAGAAAAATGACCGAAAAGTAAAATATCTACGCGCTTATTCTTGCACGCAGTCGGGCTGCAACAGAGTTTTGTGCTTTTGGCATGAACTGAGCTTCGTGTGCTTTCCTTTCTGCAAGTTGTTGTCCGAAGGGTCTGACAGCCTGACGACGGAGGAGGCGTCACGACTCATTGAAGAAGTTGACATGGCCATTGAGCAAGCCAGGGGAAATGCACCTTCTGGGGACGAGGCGTTAGAGTGCCTTGAACGCCTTGAGGCCGCAAGCGGAGAGCTTGCACGCCTGGCGGAGGGCGGTGGGCCTTCTCTCCGCGCGCTAAGGTAGCTCTACCTATCGGCGGCAGCATTCCCACCGGAAACACTGCCGTAAAAGCCGCACATGCATAAGTGGTTGTTGCCTACGCTTTTAAAAGGCCAACCCAGAATCTTGATGCCCTTAGGTAGTGAGTAGCAGTGCTTGCCTAATTGCAAAGTCCTGAAAGATATATTGCGCAGAGTTTTGTAGTCGCCAGACCGCACACAGCAGCACATACATTCGTGCAATACACAGTAATTTCTTCTGAATGCATGTGCCCTTGTTGTGTGTTTCGCATTTCACTACCCTGAACTACGTACACTTCACAACATAAATTCCTGTAGATTTTTCAATGTTTTGTGCGCTTTCGAATATCGGCATGATTTCCGGTGCATTGGGTTTTTTCCTGATAATTCAAGCCTACCGAGCTCTTTGTTATTCTACAAACTCTTGCGTGTTGCTCTGACGGTATCACTATGCTGCCACTAGTCATCCCTGTCTAGGCACAATACGTAACAAATTCACTGATGCGCTGACCCTCCTGACCTGCTGTTTAACACAGGTGCGCAGACAAGTCTCAATGCGGAGATGCAAACGATGGTCATGTAGGTGAATGACTATCACTTATTTTGTTAAAAGGATACGTAATTTCACGAAAGTAGCTATTTGAATGAATTACGCGCTCACAAATGGTAGACAATGGTGGCACAAACGCGTATATAGTCGAAATTCCCCAAACACCAGCTGAGGTTCATATAAATCAGTCTGCACCATTGGCTACGAGCACGAGAATCTGGCTACAAGCGCATTAGTATGGCTTTGCTGGTCAAACACGTACCCTTCCAATGCCAGTCGCTGCAAGGCATGTCATACATCTTGAACCTGGGGCTTAGCAACTCTGGCTACCGTCTACAGAGCGCTACGCGATACAATCTTTACTCGTTGCCTTAGGAATTGTGAAATTCTGGGTATCTTGTGACTGATTCAGCTCGTGGCCTCATGTAAACAACCCAAAACACCGTGTTGCCAAGGCTGGTTGGTGAATGTGGAAGCCCTGGAAAATGTTTATATGAGAATACTCAAAATGCATGTTTCGAAGTAGAAGATGCGGAAGGCTTGAGCATTTGCTCACAGCATGAGAAGCACGTGCGCGATTACTTCACTGTTTCACGTCGGACATAACGCGATTGCCCTTCGAACTCTGCAATGGTCATAGGTTGTCAGTTTTTGCATTTATGACCATTTCTGCAGCATTGGGTGGTAATTGTCAGAATATGTTGGCCATATTACGCGGAATGAGTGAGGATTTATGCCACCGACGAGAGAAATCAGGCCTAGAGCGCGAACATTGCTATGCTACCTCTGTTTCAAAGTCGTGTCCGTCATGCAAATCAGGCAAGTGGACGTCAGAACTTGCGAGTCAAAACCTCGACCAAAACAGCTTCAACGCGACATTTTGGTAGCTATCTGTAGAGCCCTTAAACGTGGAAAACCGTGATGCCGTTCTTGAGATATGCTAAGAGGAGCACAGACGCCACTTTTCCATTCGTCGGGACCTAGAGTGGAATGTGGGGAGATAGTCTTGCCCTTTGAAGGAGGTAGATCGAGCTGAGTCATCTCTAGGAAATATGGATGGCCTGGTGGTTTGGTATACAATGAGGATTCGGATAAATTCTAAACTGAATCCACCGAGCAAAAGATGCGCTTGCCGCAGATTTTGGATGTCAGCAGGAATTGCGAGAGTATTGTGGCTGAAGGCCAAAAGACACCTAAATTAGTGCAATAGCATTTTCCTACTCGGTGCAACAAGGTTAGGAAAGTCGCGCACACTGACGCTAACCCGAGAACCGCCTAGTTTGGTGATAACATGGCGCATCGTTGAAATTGACAATTTCAAGTCATGTGTCAACAAAGCGGAAGAGATGGTCCACAATGTGACTACGATGATGCCCAATTCTGTGAAATTTGTAGCATTGCCTGTTTATTGCCTACAACAAAGCTCTTGGACAATATCGGGAAAATAGGCTGACACACATGGGGATAAGACGAGCGCAAAACAATGGAAATTGGGACACTGACGAAGATGTATAGGGATGCTTTCGATAAGGCTGTGCAGGTCTTGCTGTATGATGATGGCGAATGCAACCAAGATCCCCCTTACCCCAAATCCACGAAGGAATCCGAATCTGGTGATAGATTTACCAATTGAGTTGTTATTGCAAAGTTATGGCAAACTTGGAGAATGGACAAGACTTATGGAGCAGAGTTAGTACATAAAAGTACTTGATTCATGGAAGCACCATAACAATCGAAAGGTGATGCTGTCGGCGCCGCAGGTATCCACGCCGCTTTCCGACATTGCCCAACTCCATGCCAAACTGCATCAGCTGGAAGAGGAACAGGAATACCTCGTGCAGCTTGTGCGAAAAGGGGAAGGTATTATGCAGGAATTGTGCGAGGAGAACGCCACCTTGGAGCGACGCCTGTCGATGGCAAGCCTCGAGGCCCAGATATCCATGTCGGAGGCTCAGATGGTCCGGGCACTATCCGGCATCACCAGGAGGTCCACTTTGGAATCCCAGGGAAGCGACGCAAGCAGCATTTACCGGCACGCTATAGACTCCATGTCGGGTGAGAAATCGACTGACACCGAGGCGGGCGTGGAGCTGCTCAGGGCCCTGGCAGAAGAGAGGAAGAACGCACAGACGTACAGATTGGAGGCCCAGGCGCTGGCGACCCAAGCCAGCTCGTTGCAGCAGGTAAGGATTTCATCGGAATCATGGATAATTTGGGAAGTTAAAGTCATTTGCGCAATTCTCGCGAACGGATGTGCAATAGAACTGGTGTCCAGTAGAAATTGTATCGTGGTGAAGCTGTTGTTGATTTTACCCCCGCGTCGTCTATTCTAGTTCACTGTCATTGACACAGATGCTTTCAGCTCTTTTTGGGTCTTCGCGATGCGGCCCAAATACGCGACTCACCAACACATCTCCCAGTGCACTTTCGCTCAGCACGAATCCGGGCTCGTTCGGTTCGTCTGTGGAGTCGACAATCCCCTTGGTTGCACTCATCGCTGCGCGTTGAGCGAAATTCGTTTTTGTCACGTGGCCGTGCGATAACCTAAACTTGGTGGCTCACCCATCTCTATTCAGTGGTGCCATTCAGCTAACTAGGGGGGCGGGTTTGTCCTGCTCTCTGAAGACTTGGGAATCTGCGTATGGGTTCTCAAAGTGGGTAATGTCACAAGTCTGCCAATCTTTGTGAGCATACCCAGACGTGTACGTGGTCTGGTACTTCACTTGAAGAAATTAACTTGCAGGGAAGCATTTGCCTGACTCTGCACCGCAGATGAGTCGCCCGTACCAAGCATTGCCACCGCTAACAGGGGTCCTGTGGGACCCAGGAAGTCCATATGCTGGCAGCAGAGAGGGAACAAATTGCTGAGGCTTTGGAAGACGCATCCTGGGCAAAAGAGCGGGATAGGCTCATGCAAAAACTGGGCGAAGAGATGGACAAGACGTGCACGTGGAAGGAAGAGAAAGAAGAACTGGAATCGAGTCTGAAAACGGCCCAAGAAGAAGTACAGAAACTGAACGGAGAAAAGCACGAGCTGAAGCAAGCGGCCAGTCAGGCAGCGTGGAACTCTGAGCGGGAGAGCCTCAAGGAGTCATTGACTTTGGAAAGGACCAAGGTGGCATTCGGCCCATGCACACCCGTCTTGGATATTATATTTTGGTCTCGGAAAGGGCCTTGGAGGATCACCGCGAAACACAGATGCCAATAACGTTTCCTGGATTCCGCGAAGGCTAGAGCCTTGGAATTGTGTGCAATCTTTCTGATTCTGATGAGCAGAATCTCCGTTCAGTGCTCCGTTTTTCTTACTTTTCTGCACTTGGGCATATTCACAAATCCACAAAATAATCTCTGATTTTCTTTTCATTCCATGAGATTCGCCATAAAGCTTGTTCGGTGCTGCATGCCAGAAGCGAAATATGTAAAGTTTCGTTTTCGAGATGTTAGAGCATTTCTCGAGCTTTAAATAGGTGTTGCAATGTGAGCTGGTAGTACAGTCTTTGGCTCCCCCGCGTCACATACCATATCATCATGTAGTAAGAAATTATGATGGTTTTGTGGCCGAGCATGCTGAGCTGTGGAGCCCCCAACAGCGCGACTTTGCTTCTTCGACTGCAAAGCCAAGCGCCATAAACGTGCCTTAACCCATAACATTTTCGCATCTGAAATTATATGTCATCTGTGATGTTGATGCTATCAAGATGCAGAAGTTATCAATTTATCAATGATTAAACCATATGAGGAATCAAATAATTGGAACAGTTTTCTTTCCTGACCAGGTAGATGCGCTGTCAGAGGAAAGTGTACAGCTCAAGAGACAGCTCGCGAGCACCATTGATGACCTCGAGAATAAACGCAGTGAAATAAGCGGACTGCGAAATTCACTGACATCTGCTGCATGGCAAGAAGAGAAGGCCGGTCTGCTGGCAGCGCTTGAAGAAGAAAAGGACAAGGTGTCCGTGGCACGGAGCATTTAACTGCATTTCCACGTACACTCCAAGATATGTGCTTGGTGCGCATGTTCCAATTACGCATACCTCCTCAAGCCCTTTCACCACAGAATCACGCATCTGAGTCCCTGCTGTGCTCAGGTGTCCTCATGGGAAGAGGAGAAAAACCAACTGGAGACACAGCTTGCGGAGGCTTCATCAAAGTGTGAAGATCTGACTGCGGACAACAGTCGGCTTCGAGAGGAGGTGGACATGGTGGTGTGGAAGGAGGAAAAGGAGCAGCTCGCAATTGCCCTTGAGGAGGAGAAAGACAAGGTATTCTTGTTGAGGACATGCAATGAGGCTTTGGTGCAAACGCCTGGCGTTGAACTGCAGCAACAGCAGTGCAGTTGCCGGAAGTACGCTCCCTGCTCGTGAAGCAGCGCCATGGCCACTTGGTGGCGCAGCCAGAGTTGGCGTTGCGGAGGATATCAATGCACAGCTGTGGGTGGTTTTGACAACAACAGAGATGCCAAGTATCCAAGGAGAAGACTGACCAAAATGAGAATTATTTGCGCACAATCATATCGTATGCCTGGCATTGCACCGAATATAATTTGAAACCGGGGATGGCTGCTGGAACAGACGTCTACTTGGGAGGAAGAAAAGACTCGATTGGAGGCCCAGATCATTGAAGTAGTGAGCGATAACGATGCCCTTGGCGAGGAAAATTCTGCTCTTCGATCACTGGTGGACACCGCCGCATGGCAGCACGAACGACAAGAGCTTCTGAATGCATTGAGCGTTGAAAAGGGGAAGGTCAAGTCCTGGGAAAAAGAGAGCAACGCAATCAGAATGGAGTTGAAAGACCTCCGTCAAGTGGCCAAGTCTTTAGAAACCAAGGACGCCCTTATCGCGGAAATGCAGGAACAAGTTGATCAACTCCGCTCGGATTTAGAAGACGCACAAGCGAAGGTGGGAAAGTGGTGTGTTTGCACAACGTATGCTCGCACTGCGCCTGCACACGTCGCCATTGAAATACATGGAACTTGCGACAGCTGTTTTTTTCGATGTTGCTCACACACCGAATACCGTGATGGCTTCCTGTAAATTCGTAAAATTCCAATATTTGGACCCTCATCAGCGGTTTGTAGCATGCAACCACTTTGGCCATTTACAACATGGAAAGGGAGCTGCAATGATTGCACATGTTTAATTATGGGGCATTCCCCCTTTCCGACCGTGGTGGTCATTAGTCAACTTTTGCGTTTGTCAAGTGGCGCCCTGTTTTCGACCGCAGGTTGCCATCAAACAGGACGTCATCGACGGTTTGAGAATAAGCCTGAGGCAGGGCTCCGCAGATGACTGGGTGATTGAAAAGGTGGCGCTGCTCGCCCGCAACACCGAAATGAAACTTGCCATGTCCGCCCTGGAAGAGGCGTACGCGCAGGAGAGGTCCCTCCACATTTCCACCAGGGTGAGAAAGGAAGAAGTCGAGCTGGAGCTGGACAAAGCCGTGAAGGTCGGTGGCGGAGGCATCCTGCACCGCTGCGACCATTACATGCGAATTGGGGATCAACAGGAATCAGCAAATTTCGCACTTCGATAGGAAATTCGACTTCCACTCGAGCTGCCAATGGGTTGCAAGAAGTGAGATGCGGTTGTCCAGGAAAATACCCACATTCCATGCCAACGGCTCCAAATGCTATTGTGGAAGGACGAGGGAGCACAAGCCCCATCCTGAACCAGTTATGCGCATGCCGGCAACAACGGATATTTAGAACCACATGTTGTTTCCTTCAATGTTATCACGATGTTGCTTCATTATGACGCAAACCTCAAAGTACCTCTGCTTCTGCTCCACCAACTCAAACAGCATTATGTAATGTCATCGAGCAGGAGCTCGAGATGGCGAAGGCGGATGCACCCTCCCCTGGTAAAGATGCAAGGCGCCGGCATGTGACTTGGGGAACAAATCAAATAACTGAGGTGAGCAGGGCATCCATTCGCGAGCACCGCTGACATCACCTAGATGATTGGCTATTTATGTCACAGATAGAAGTATCGATTCATCGCTGTTCGAACAGCAGCTGCTATTCGAACGAACGCGGTGCTTTCCGTTACAGCCCCCTCCAGTTAAATGAGGCCAGGGTGGAAGTCGACGTTGTTGCAGTAATAATGTTCCATGTTCATGTTGCACGTCATAATACTTGGCATGCTGTGAGGAACGTGTGAGTCAAAAGGTGTGGCGCGGATCCCATTCCAGCCGTTCCGTTCACAGCGGCAATTAGACATTTGTGAAGCAAAGTTGTGTTCAAAACTCGGCAAATACCTGCTTCAAATTTCCCCAAAAGAAAGAGTAAGAGAGGCGCGACGCCACACGTAGTCGTTCATCAATCAAACATGCTTCTGGGCATTGCTGCAGCTCTTCTTCCCGTTCTGCGCCGAAACTATGCTTGGATATGTGTACTAGGGACAGAGCTCGTCCTCTCGACTCAGTCTGCTGTGCCCCTGCTGCAGATACCCTGCCGAAGTTCATCCTTCGAATATCCGGACGACTCTCCATTGTTCTCTAAGCAGCTCAGCATCAGCATAATCCGCAGCAGATCGGCGTTCCCGGTAGAGCTCGACAGTCTGCAGCACGGCACCCTGAAATCCACATCTTCCATGCCTGCGTTGAGCGACGCATGCTCAATGAGTGGGACGCTGTCCGTGAGGACAAAGGCAGAGCTTGGCACGCCGGCCTATCCCCTGGAAAAAGCTTTGTCTGTGAGAACTCCGCGTGAACAGATCTAACGAGATGGCAGAGGCGATGGGGCTTTGAAAAGAAGCAGGATGTCCATGAGGCATGTACGAATCAGGGAAATGGCGGGTGCCTTTCGAGGAGAAGTAGCATGTAAACCCAGTTTCAGTGGAGAGAGGTCGAGCTGAGGGCTTTTGGTGATTAAATCCATGGACAGGACTGGCTGAAGCCAAGACGGTGCCAATTCTCTATCATTCGTCAATGGCATGAGTTACAGATTCATTCACGACAGATCGATTGGCGTATTCAATCGAGTGCGGTGGATATCAATATTTTGTGCAGGCCAAGGATCTGCCGCCCTGCTAGTCCCTGGGGTCTGCATGCCCTGCAGCTGACAGTTCCCCTGGCACTCTTCAGCGCCAGAAGCCTCATTAGCCCCTGCTGTTGCATTTTCAATTTGTGCATGCCATTTCCGAGCTCACATCGATGGTGGTTCGCCTTGCTGACGGTAAATCCTTTATTCAGAAGGTACCAAAACCGATACGTAGTTTCCGATTCAGCGATATGTGTCTATACTTCGCATAGGAGCACATGGAAACAAAATCCCCACGAGGGTGTTGGGGTGGCCTGATAATGTCTGTCTCCCAATTTGCGGGCTATGGATCAGTGAGCATGAGTCAAGCGCAGGCTGCGCACCTCCCGCTGTCGACCTGAGCGGCGGTGGTTCTCGCGCAGGATACTCCAGAATATCCTGCGCGAAATCCACCCGGGACCCCAGGGCAAGATAACATGCAACGCTCACAACATATACATATTTATATGCGTGGAAATTAATTTCTGATTTAATTAGTAATTGAGTTTTTCGATTAGGGAGATGTGGGAGGACATTTTGGATGATCCTGGCACTCTAGACAGGAATGGCAGCCGAAATAAGTTTCTGGCTGATCCGTTCCTTGGTAGCTTGGACCCTCTGGTCCACAGGCTGAGTTTGAGCGTGCGGTTAGGTATCCTATGGCCTCCATGCACGGGCTGCAAACAGAGCCAAGGCCTTGCGTTTGAAGTGGATTCCGTGGCGGGCTTTCCAGGTTCGAGGGCGGACTCCTTTGGGTTGTCCAAGACCGCCAAGTACCTTGTTTCGTACCCACCCACCCATCTTCATGAGAATAAGTTCGGTTTGAGGAGAACGCGAATTTTAGATATCTGGGATCAAGTACTGTCACAATTGAAAATTCAGTCAGAATACGGGTTCCTGGCGAGGTCAGTGGGAAATGGACACATCGTGGGCTCGAGACGGGCACATCATGCTGGAGTGAGAAAGGGCAGGAATATTGAACCTGTCATACGGTGTATACGTTGCCCTGTCATGTAAGGAACATCCCTCGTGACGGGCTCAAGACTGACTCCCTTCCCCCGATCGCCCCCATGGCGATCGCTCCAAGTGAGGGAGCAGCACCGTCGGGTGCTTTCCACCGACAAAGCTAAGGACAAGTATAATTTGACAGCCATGGGCACTGCGAGTAGGAACGTTGATGGGAATATCGGTAATGCACTCGCCCAGCGTGCGTGTCGGGCAGGGAGAGTATCCCATCAAGCAGAAGCATCGCAATGCAAATTCCAATCATCGTTCCGGCATCTCTCGACCGAACGTGCTTCGAAAACCGCACTGACCCAGCGCGAAAACATACGATGGGAGTGCTGATATATTTTGACGGGAGCAGGGATATATTGTTTCCCCTACAAAGGGCCTTTGGCCTGCCCAGAAGCCCGCTGGAATTCCTTCCACGACGCGGCCCATCCTCCACAGCCGTCATTAGCGTCATCAGCCACTTGTGCTCCATTTATTAGCAAAGCAAAGCGGGTGTGGCTCTATTCAGTGCGAAGGTGAGTGCGCAACAAACGCAGCCCGTGCCCCGTTGCCCAAGGGCGTGTTCCGGCGCCAACCTCCAGACCGTCCAGGGAGGAACCAACGCAAGCCACAGCCGTCGGCCACAACCCCGCCCCCGCCTCCACACAGCGGCAGCGGGCAGCCCCATCGACCTCGCACCTCTTCGAGGCAGCCATGAGTTTCCTGTTCGGCAAAAAGAAGAGCCCCGCCGGTGCGGCACGGCCCCTGGCATCGATCCACACCGCTCAATCGCTCCGCGGCGTCCCGCGGTGGCTCGCCGTGCTCTGAGGGCGTCAGTCGTGGCCTTGCACGTGCATGTGCGGTCGTGGTGCCGGGCGGGATGGTTTCGAAAGATTTTGTTGGCAGGTGCTGTTGGGGGATCGCGGCTGTGGTGGCCGGTTGGGGCCTGACGCGCGGCGCGGTTGCCGCCTGCCGTTTGGCGCAGAGCTACTCAGGGAGAACAAGCGGAATCTCGACAAGGCGATTCGAGAGCTGGACCGGGAACGCCAGGCGCTGCAGAACCAAGAAAAGAAGCTCATCGCGGAAATAAAGAAGACGGCCAAGCAGGGGCAGATGGTGGGGCGGAAGCCACTGCGCGGCACGCCATGTAGTTGTGCACGTGATGAACAGAATTTGACTCATTTATAAGGGAGGGCTGGGCGGGGCTGATTGGGATGTGTGTGTGTGCGGGTGCGTGCTGTTGGTGCTGCCCGTTGTGGGATTCCTTGGCCGGCAGCTGCCCTGCAATTGCAGAGCGCTGCCCTTGCGCTGTGCAGGTGTTCGTGAGCTGTTCAGTCTAACGTACTTGTGAGTTTTAGTTTCATTGTTTGTGGTGTCTCAGGAAGCCGTGAAGGTGATGGCGAAGTCGCTGGTGCGGAACAGGCACGCTGTGACGAACATGTTCGGGCTCAAGTCGCAGCTGCAGGCCGTGTCACTACGCATTCAGGTGAAGATCGTCTTTCAAAGAGTACATTAATATCAAACAACGACCAGCAGCTCCTGAGAATAAAATTGTGTGAGACTTTGCACTGTACTATTGAATATGATGCAAGAGTAACTGATTGCAACAGGAGCTGTGTATAACACTGATTTTCATGAGCAGAACTCCAGATTGAGAGTTATGGATGTTCCCTTTGATTTTGGCTCCTGCCAGGCACTGTTGGCGCTGGCCAGTGCTGAGCGACAATGGCATTCCTGCAGATGCTCAGGGCCGCTCACAACTGACAATCATAGAGAGCACAAAGAGGAGGGCTGAATCCTGCCATCTGCCAACAGGCACTAAATTTGAATAGATGTCCAATCCTCTCCATACATCGGGCTTCAAATGATGTGCATCCTGAATGTTGTGCATTCCCTATGTTATGTTTACGATGTTTCCATGGTGCCAATTTGTGAACTGTAGTGTGTGCCGCTGAGAGACAGCTGCATGATGCGGGCACACACGAACGCCCTGTGAACTGTTCAGCAGCGAAAACACACATGGCTGCACTGCACATCGGTTCGCAGCAATTGCTCATCGAAGTGACATGGTTGGCTTTTCGCAACTGCAACAATGTGGTTGTTTTAATCAGCGTGTCGTTGATTTTCTGCATATGACAATGCTCACCTGTTGTTCAGACTTTGAAGTCGACTCAAGCCATGGCTGACGCGATGCGTGGAGCCACAAAGGTGCAGGCCATCTCCCATGCAAGCTGTTTTGCATCTGAGCACATGTGTGTACCAGGGCTTTGTGGTTATACACATCTGCATGGCTTGTTTGCCACAGTGTGAGTTTTGCTCGGTGACTGTGTCGTTCTTGGCTGGGCATTGCCAATGCACCTATGATGCGATCATCAGCAGCGATCACTTCTTGAAGTGCTTGTTCCAGCAGTGTGCAGAGTTTCATCTCACCACTCAGCAAATCAAAGGATCAGTCCTACGTGCTCAGCAAACTCTGTGCGCGTGTGTCCACAGGCCATGAAAGTGATGAACAAGAAGATGAACATTCCAGCACTCCAAAAGATCATGCGCGAGTTCGAGATGCAAAATGAGAAGATGGAGATGACAAGCGAGATGATGGGGGATGCCATTGACGATGTGTTCGAGGTACCTTTCAGGCTGGCACTGTGCTTTGTATTCTAGGAGATACCAGCCGCCTGTTGATCGATGCTGGCAACAGATTTGGTTTGTATGACTTGTGTTGTGGCTGATCTCAAGTGTGGTTGGCTTCAGTCACAACGGCAGCGATTCATTGCCTTGACAAGAAAATAACCATGCTATACAAAGGGCACCCCTGTCAACATAGCAGCCACCCACCGTTCATATGCATCAGTATGATGAGCACCCGTGGTTGCAGTAATCGTCCTCTGCCATTGCTGTAGCCACTACATGTCGCTTCAATATTCACTTTGCATTCCTAGATGGCTCTTTGATCCTGGCGGAACATAGCAAGTCTTCATGCCAACCTCTTCAATCCTGAGGTTGCTACAGACGATTGCGATGGAATAGGAGTCACAAATGCAACGACTGGACATATGTGCTCAGTTCCTTTTCATCTTGATGATGTGTGCCTGTGGACATCTCATCGTTTCTGTGATATTTGCAACTAAAGCGAATGGGGCCTGCATGTCCCTTCAGAGCACCCTTGGGGAGTATGCAGCATGTAATGTAGACATGCGTGGTAATGCATTCTCGTGTTCTGATTGACTGATCAGGGAGAGGAGGAGGAGGAAGAGACGGACGACTTGGTGAACCAAGTTTTGGATGAAATTGGTATTGGCACCGCAGAGCAGGTGAGCTTTGGATTGGTAAATTCCACAGACCACCACAATCCTGACGTTGTCATAGGGAAGTCCTCTACTGGAGGGAACCTGTTTGCTCACGTCTGGTATTAAAGGTATTATTAAAGGTATTAAGGTGAAACAATACTGGGTGTGCTGTTTTGATGTCTATTAATCGCTGCATTATCAGTTAGGCTTGCAGCACACAACACTCTTGACCGAAGAAGACCTTCAGCCAAGAGCTTGGAGCTAAAATAGGATACTGATGCCCTTCTTTTGCTGTTCTTTGAATGCGTATCACCTTGGCTGATATCCAGAGATGCATGCCTTTGACCACTAGTTATGTGGTGGAAAACCATGAAGGGGCGTCAAGATCAGTTGCATTAATCTAATTCTGCTGTGTATGCCACAGCAGCACAGTCTGTCACCTTGAAATCCTCAGGCAGTTTGCATGCTCACAGTGCAACTAGCTTGAATTGGCAGCTCGTAGTGAATGCAAAAGTGTGCACCAACCATCATTCAGAACAGGTAGACTGGCTGAGACTCACTCAATTGAAAGACTGCATTAGATGTTGAAGGTAGTATCATGATATGCTTCAAAGTCAGTACTTGCATACCACACCTGGCTCTGGCACACCTATGTGTCCTCACAGTTGGCCAGCTGTTCCAGAGCTCCTTAAGCCCACTCTTTGCTTGACTGCTCAGGCATATTCTCTCCAACAGCATTCAGAAGCTGGGCCCTTGGTCTGGCATTGATACATGAACACGATATTGGTCGAATTGCTAGCTGGCATCGCTTCAACTTGTTGCACCATGTAGCAATCACAGCCGCATCACACCCAACAAGTGCGAACCGAAAACAGGGGACGTCTGGAGGTGCCTGTGCAAATGCAGAGAAGATCGTCACTGCTGCAGAGAGTGCTGCAGCAGCATAGCATAATATCAGGTCATCCATAGACAGGAAAGACAGCAGAAAGACTTCTGTGCCTACAAGAAACAATGTGCCTCCCAACTAATGCTTCATAAGAGCAGTACACTGTCAGGCAAGCATGCAAGAAACTGCAGCTCTTGACCACAATAAACTGGAAAGAACCTTACACATTCTTGTTGCTAGGGCTTGATCTCATGTGTAGCCTGTTTTCTGACTTCTAGGAAAACCTCGCTAACGCTCGCAAGCACCCATTTCCTGCTATGTCATTACAATAGGTGCCAGCGTGCCAACATCAGGTGTTCGTTATCACTTCGCTGGTTGTCATGACCAATATGACTTCCAAGAGCTACCATTTTGACTAATGCGATTGCCCCTGTCTTCTGCGCAGCTCGTAGCTGCTCCTGCCGCTGTCGCTTCGCATGCCCCTGCGGCTGCGGAGCCGCAACAGAATGAGCCAATGGCGGAGGGAATTGACAGCGAACTCCAGGTGAGTCGATCTGACACTTGCCTTGCATGCCTCAGAAGAGCATGCCTCAAACCACGACTTGATCGCAGCAGAAGGAATGCACTCTATTGCTCCATCAGCATCACTTGTAGTAGACAACATTTCTGTGATGGGACTGGGACACTATTGACACTAACTGATGCCAGCACAGATACTTCTATGGCAATGCACTCGCTGTGATGTTGTCTGTTAGTGTCGAAATGGTATTGCAGTGTGCACTGCCGAAAATGTTGTTTTCTGGTGTTGGATGGTGTCCGCTGGTACACCGTGGCTACCAAAGGTCAACCACCCTACAGACTGGAAGAAGGATAGGTATTGCAGGACGGTGGAAGGGGCACCTTGCGGCACTTGGTTGCACTTTTAACCTTGACATCTGCCTGCCCACTGCATTCCTTTTCTAAGATGGCAACCTGGAGTAGCCGCAACGTTGCCATGCTCCAGGCCGATTGTATTGCTGCACCAGGTTAGTACAACAGCTGTCGCAATGTTATGCATGGCTGTCCAGTTTCAACTACAGTACGTGGGCATCTATCGTTGCAGTATCGTTGCCATCTGTAAAGCTCGGCACACATTTCTTGCCGAATCTGGATTGTACACACAAGATGCCAAAATACTCTGTTCCTCGTACCCACAGGCAAGGCTCGACCACTTGAGGAAAACGTAAGCGAATGTAGGCGTATGGGGAGATGGTGTGAGACTCTGCAGGATGGCGGATTTAGTGTTGGTCTGTTGGCTGTCCGGATGTTGGACAAAGGTCACCGTGTATTTTACTATTTCTGGGGATGGGAAATGGTGCTGGTGGCAAGCGTTTGCTGGAAATTGTATCAAGGCGTTGCTGCAAGATTGTGGCCCAGGGTTGCCGGTTTCCCTGTGGCGTATTTACAAGAATTGGGCGGATGCACTGGAGCTGGATGCAGTACTTGGCAAACAAGTCTAAAAGTGCTGTGCGCACTGCGATCTGGTCAGGGCATCGCCATCAAACCAAATGGGTTTCGTGGATTACAGTTTGTCAGCACCCTATGACAAATCCAGGACCTTGCACCTTGCAGCGATATCCACGCCTGCGTAAACTGCGCGCTTGCCCTGTCTTTGACGATGGCCCATCGCCCCTATACGGCAGAACAAGAGTCCATGCGATGGGGATCCAAACGATTAGCAGGTGACAGAAAGGCCTGAAAGTACAGGAGGCAGAGGCACGTTTTGTTGAGCTGTTCTTCGGTATTCGACATTTGCACAGACACACCACGGGGGAGAACGTTGCAATCACACTCTCTGAGGACACCCTGTTATCGCGGCAAGGAGAGATCGCAAACACAACTTAGAATTGGTTACGCCCGCATCCACAACATCATACCAATACAGCCACATGTCAGTTCCGTCAATGTTATAATTACAAGTGCCCCGTTCGCAGACAGCTCTCACACAACCTACGATTGATTGAAGGAAGTGACTGATTTAACATGCAGTTGCTTCCCCTGATGCTCAACGCACAGCGGATAATGCACGAACGCGGAATGCTTGGCTAAGTTCTCAGAACCTTTTGGGCCACATCCGAGAGAATCCCTACTGAAAGTAGCAGTACCTGGCCGCACGTGGAGCTGAAGGACCAAGCAAGATGGGTGGACAGTTCGAGCATTCGACTGCAGGCTTGGTCTTTACGGCGTAAACACCGAGTCTTTACGCATATTTGCATAAAAAATAGTATTACGTTTTTACCCTCAATACACGTAAAATCACGCAAATTTGACTCGGAGTACATAAAGACAGTACAACAGACTCGAGGAGTCCGGGGAGTGGCAGCCAAAAACGCTGGAGTGGGCAGCAAATGACTCTGTTCGACGACTTTTTTGCCCCTGCCAAGTCGAGGTGGACGATGTTTTGCGGGTGCTCGAGGGGGCAGAGGACTGACCATTGCCTGTGCATCCATCATGTAACGTGGGTGTCCAAACGAGCTGTAAATATAACAGTAAAAATAGTTTCTTTTGCATTTTTAGTTTTTTTCCATATAAGAACCTAAACGTAAAAGCGTAAACGCAAACGTAAACATAAAGACCAAGCTTGTTCGACGGCAGTCCTCCTACGCCCGCGACGTCCCCTGTCGCCCTCCATTCCTGTTGCGCTCACACACTTCCGCATCACCCTCCCCGTTGCAGAAAAGAGTCTTTTTCTCCTGGAGGACACGCTTCTTCCTCGTGGAATTTCTGTCAGCAAGACCACCCTCCTACGGCGGTCAATCAATCAATCGAGAAACACTACAGAACAAAGCAAGGAGTCACCGGCGCCCACCCCGCCACCGTTCTGGATCTCCGGGCCTCAAGTCACAGCAGTTCCTCGAGTCCGCAGGCCGCTGTACTTAGTGCAGTACACCACGGGCAACAGCGCCAGCCTAGCGAGCGCCAAATTGTCAGCGCGGCAGACGCCAGCCCCTTCACCTGGCAGCCCACTGGGGCCGCACCCGCTCCACACTCACTCGGGCGTCGCACGTGATGGCCGCAATGTACTGGTGCAGATAAAAGTATCGATGCAAATTACTGAGTACTGATACAAAGTACTGATACAGGTCGAGAGGTGCCGACCTCCCGTCGAGAGGGAGACAGGCCGCCGCCAGCGGCTGGAACTGCTACCGGCGCCTGTGTTGATGGAGGGCGGAGCGGTGGCCCTCGACGTGGGCGTCATCTTGGGGGGATGCGCTGGCCAGGGCGTCGCATGGCAGCAGGGACACAGGCCCGCTGGCGGCTCATCCGCGGAGGGCGCCACCTGGCATTGCGTCCCATGGTCCTCGAGATCGCGTGCTTGCGTTCACGCAGAGATGAACATGAAATGCAGCAAAGTGTGGACAGCCTCATCTGGATGGACTGGTCCTTCCAGATCCAACTGCGCCACAGTACTGTGGAACGTTCGTTGAGGACAGCTCGATCCAACTGACTGGGATGCCGATCTCTAATCACTGTAGATCATCTCGACACATGCGCAGCCAAGTGTGCTGGGTCCCTGGCAACAGCCACCAGAAACAAAAGCACTCCGGGCAGTCGCAGTGCCTCTGTTCGCCTCAGAAACAAAACCACCCAATGCATCGCCCAGCGCACCGCGAAGCCGCACCCTTGCCTTGTTGCAATGCTTGTGCCGTGCGCTCATCACCTCACACTGGGAGATGCCACATCATCTTTCACACCATGGACAGGGATCTCACAGACACTTGCTGAGAGTAGGGTGCCCATTGTGTGACCCAGTGTGCTGTTAAACCAAATCTTAGCCCCTGGACCCACTCACCCCGTCCTCCTGACTGTTCGACGATACCGAATTTTGTCAATTTGCGCATTCTGATGAACAGGAACGCAGCGGCTGGATTGTGGCAATGCCTTAGGTTCTCATGAAACCAGTCACGGACACTGCTTTGCTCGAGCGAAACAAGGAGCTGATGGCCGCCACCTCGCCTCGATGTGTGAGAAGTATTGGTGATGATGACCAATTATCATTGTCAGGTTGACCGGACTCTCTCGCACACGCTCGCTCCCAGGCACGGGAAGCAAAACCGCAACCAGATGCATTACAGGATGATCGTACCAGCTAAATAACAACCACTGCAATAATGTCCACCCCCCATCTCCATTGTCTCCATGTACATTCGCCATAACAACATGCTCACCATATTTACTTCTTACCATAAAAAAACACCATACATCACATGTTATATATTAAGCATTCCCTCGCCCTCACAATCATTAAAGGACGCCGGACCCAAAACCGACCTATAGCTTCAATGCCACTTCAATGCCACTATCAGTGGCATTGGCAGTGACGAAGGCAAGCAGGGTCGAGGGGGGGGCGGCCCCTGACTGGGGACCGTGGGCTCGATTACACGGCAACAGTTTGCAGCGGACCGAAGGGACAACAGGAATTCTGTCCCTTATATCCTTTGATCAATGCCCTTAGTGCCCCACAGCCTCGGCCAGCTAATGATACTCGATCACTTCTGGTCACAACAGCGGCGCCGAAGCTCAACTTCAACGCCATTTCGGAATATGCGGGGTGGCGGTACAGCCACACAGCGGCCGGTCCGAGTCCAACGCGACGGCGCGTTTACCCATCGGACCGGCCGTGCCATCCGTGTGGGCATCTCGCTGGCAAGCCACGGGTGGTCACCTCAGCGAGCAAACGTGTCCGGTGGCAAGCGAAATGCTCGCCATCCACGCCGCGTCGCAAATTCCCACCCCAGGGCCCCCCTCCTACTGCCAGCTCCCGCCCAGGCAGCGCGCGGCGCCTGGAAAGCACCGAAGGGCAAAGGCCAAGAGGCGGCGCGTTGGTGGGGGCCGTGGACTGCATCTCGAATTCGTTCTTCGACCCCCTTGAGGCCAGATGAAGGCGCTGATTCTGGTCGGCGGGTATGGCACGCGCCTGCGGCCGCTCACCCTGAGCTGCCCCAAGCCCCTTGTGGAGTTCGCCAACAAGCCGATGATCATCCATCAGATCCAGGTGGGGGGCATGCCCGTCGGCGCGTCGCACTCGGGTCATGCCTTTTCTTTTTCTTCTTTGTCTGGGGGCCGGAAGAGGCGGCCGTGGCGTTTGCTGATCGGCAGCCCTGTTTGCACGCCCCAGGCGCTGAAGGCCGTCGGCTGCGCGGAAGTGATTTTGGCGATTGCCTACCAGCCTGAGGTGAGTGCGGGATGGCTTGCGGAGCGCGGCGCGCTCAAGCCCCGCTTGCAAGATGGAAGGCGAGATGTCCTGCCGCGGTGAGATTTAGTCATGACTGCTGTTGCTCTGGGGCCGGGGGGCCAGGTGATGCTGACCTTCAAAGAGGAGTGGGAGGCAAAGCTGGACATCAAGATTACCATATCCCAGGTAAGCTGCGACGCGATTGCGGGCCAGAACCCGTGCTGGGCGCCCCGCGAGGCGTCGCTCACAGACGGGTCCGAGGGGAACTCCGCCCGGATGGCTCGAATGTTTTGGTGGCAGATGCCGGCATTGGTCAACGCTGACGACCTGCGCGCGCTGCGGCCCGTCGCAGGAAAACGTGCCGATGGGAACCGCCGGCCCCTTGGCCTTGGCGCGGGAACTGCTGGACGACGGCTCCGGCGAGCCATTCTTCGTCCTGAACAGGTGGGGTTCGCCGCGGAACGCTGCCGGCGAGCGTTGCTTCCGCGGCGTCAAAGGGTCGTTTTTGGCACTGTGGTCGGAAGGTGGTGCAGTTGGATTGTTGGGGTGCGAAGGCTGTTGGCGGCATCTAATGGGTGGTGCCACTGGCGGCTGGGTTCCTGCCTGGCCACTTCACCAGCTTCTGATCACCGTCTCGTCGAGGTTTGCCTGATGCGTTGGTCCGGCGGAAACGGATTGCATGGAATTGTTCACCGCATTGCCCGGGAGGTGCCAGGGCAGTGTTTTGCAGCACCGGACGCGTGTCGCTAAGGGAGTAGCTTGTGGCGGGCGCCGACTGACGAACACTATGTGCCGGCTTTCAGCGATGTCATCTGCGAGTTTCCTCTCAACGACCTGCTGGAGTTTCACAAGTCCAGGGGTGGCGAAGGCACCCTGCTGGTGACCCAGGTGGAGGACCCTTCTCGGTACGGTGTTGTTGTCACTGAAGCGGATGGCAAAATCAAGGCGTTCATGGAGAAACCAAAGGTGAACACGTGGTAACATGTCTGGGTGGCCAGACGCCAATTGCGGACACCAAACTATGCAGCTTCTGGCACTGGCTGTGCCCAGTGAGATATCAATTCCATATCGTTCAGTGCACTGCAGTTCGAATGCCCATTTGCAATTGTTGGTGCCCCACTGTGCAGAAATGTTCGGAGTGCAAATCTCACATCCAGGCCACGACCAATTGTGAGGGAAACAAGATTCGATGGTTTGTTGATGGTGGGAAGCTTATTATGCTCTTAAATGACCTGCTGTCTCGCTGCTGTAAGTGAATTCGCATGGGAGGAAGGAATGACAGAAATGTAAAACGGTGTTGATGTGCGCAGGAGTTTGTCAGTGACAAGATCAACGCAGGCATCTACGTTCTCAGTCCCCAGATTCTGAACAGGATTGAACTGCGTCCAACATCAATTGAGAGGGAGGTGTTCCCAGCTGCTGCAGCTGACAATCAGCTGTATGCAATGGTTTTGCCAGGCTACTGGATGGACGTTGGCCAACCAACAGACTTCCTCAAAGGTGCTAACAGAATGAGAGGCTGTAATTTCTGGAAGAGATAACAAAAAAGCGCAAATTCGCTTCAGTAGCAATATTTGCTATTAGATCATTTTTGTTGTTGAGCCCCCTTTGGTATTCCACAAGTGCGACTGCCTATCCTGAAGTTGCCCATCCAGAGCTTGTGGACAACATTCCAGTTATGCGGGACTGGCTGAAATGAACTTAGCTGCAACCTGATAAATCCTTGGAAGGAATTACATGCCTTGCTGAGCAACAGCGTCCCTTGGGCAAGGCATCCATTCATGCCCATCATCTTGCGACACTTGTGCTCACCCTCCATTCAATGTTTTGTATGAGCTAGTAGGCAACAGCCACGCACAAGGGAACACACCTGCACACTCCCCATTGGCAAGGCCGTGTTCACTACCAGAAGTGCTCTTGTTTCTTCTGGTTACTTGTTGACTACCTAATTGCTCAAGGATTATGTGAGGAAATGTATGTTGTTTTGCAACAATGGCATAAATGTGTTTCCAAGCAAACCTGCCGCTGATCCATGTGAGCAGTTCTGGCTGTGGCAAACTTATGTGGCATTCTGTTGTATGACAGGACACACTGACGAATTTAGGCAGGCTCTGTGTGCCAACGAATTGCATGCACTTCCACAATCTGAGAAGCACATTCCTTTGAGTGACATTGTCGAAGAGGTGCATGACAGAAACCGCAGACTTCGACCTTAGGGCTATGTCAGGCTCAGGCTTTTTGGGCACAATGTTTGTTCTCATCACATAGTTTTTTCATTTCCATCCAGCCCCCCCACCTGCACTCATACTCCCCCCACCACCACCACTACCTCCCCACCACCACCCACCCACCCCTTTCAGCCCCTGGGCAGATGTTAAGACCAGAGCACTTTGCTCCCCTTTCAGGCCTGGTCCTCCACCTGGAGAGCATGAACATCCACCATCACCGTGAGCTGGCAAGTGGCTCGTGCTTTGTGGGGAATGTGCTGGTGCACCCCTCTGCCAAGATTGGCAAGGACTGCCTGATCGGGCCGGACGTCTCCATCGGAGAAGACTGCGAGATAGGCGATGGTGTCAGGCTGAGCACGTGTGTGGCGATGCGTGGGGTGAAGGTGAAGAAGTACGCCAAAGTGGCGAACTCCATCATCGGTTGGCATTCTCGTATTGGGGCATGGTGTCGGGTGGAGAACAACGCCATACTTGGCGAGAATGTTGGTGTAAAGGTAGGCCAAGTTGGGCGTGCGGGTGGGACTGTGAATGGCCCAATGTGCTCCAACAGATGCGGAATAAGTTTGGGAGGCGTGATGACTGTTTGCAGGCTGTCGTTTTCAATCTCTCCTCCTCACAGTGTGTGGCTGGTTGCGCGCCTTGCGGGGCTCGAATTGCTCAGATTTCAACAGGCCCTCTCGGCAACATGGTCACAAGAGAACTTAGCATGTTTCTGGCGAGAAGATTCTTGTCGAATGGGCGGCGAGAGGGTTAACCTGTATCTGCACATATGGTGTTGCTCTGCATGGAAAGGCCATAATGCGTGGGTTGTGACGCTGTGGGCTTTTGCATGTGATGCAGGATGAGCTCTACGTGAACGGTGCCATTGTTCTGCCGCACAAAGATGTCAAGGAAACCATTCAAGAACCCAAGATAATTCTGTAGAGTGCTGCCCAAGTGCACACTTGTGTTGCGCTCGACGATTTCCAAGTTTTGCAGCCGGCCTGTAGGGGTAGGGATTTGCTTCACAATGCACAGCTTTCGGCTCGAGGGTGGGATCCAAGCGCCAGCGCTCTCAGAGACTGCCAGAGTGCCTCTGAATAGTTACCTGCACATGCCTGGGTGGATGTCGGTTCGCACTTGTTATTGTGTTTGCGATTGGTTTAGCTGAGTTGATCTAATATTCCTTCCACCCCGCATGGAGCGTCACAAAGCCCGAGTCACGCTCCACATTACGACCCGTCGACATGTCAAGCCAGAATTGTGTACAGGCCTGTCCACTAGAGGTGGCGAAGTCTTGTTGTGGTGCGGTGGTCGATGCACACGCGTCCAAGTGCGTCAGATGGAGTGCCAGACTGGGTACTTGTTGCCTGGATGCAAGCAGCGGCATACTGATCGCGAATGTGTCAGGAGGGGTATTGTAAAGAGCTGCGATAACTGGCTTTTTGACATGGTATAAGGTGCTCACCTGATGGACATCGGATAGCAAAAGGATGCAATCTTCAATCAACAAAGCGCAATCACGCCACATGCGTTTGCAGCCTCGTGCAATGCAACCGCCGCGAGCCGGGAGTGTTGGCCAGCGCGCAAGGGAGAGTGCCTGGGAGGCCGCAGGGCCTCAGGCAACGCTCTCTTCCCAAATCCATCCAAGAACCCACCCCCCACACACGCCACCTGGCGCCTAGTCTCCACGCTTCGGCCTCTGCGCGCCTGCAAACCTGGTCGATTGCTGCAGCGCCCGAATGTTCTCAACCACGTAATTCGTCTTTTTCTGCTGCGCATCTCCGGCCTTGTGGCTGCGCCGCAGCCGGTTGTCGATCCTGGCCACCAGGTCGTCTCTGTTTGGCGGGTTGTACACGGGCTGCCGGCCCCTCAGATCGAAGCTATACTGCGTGCCCTTGGTCTGAATGTGCAGCCGGCCCTTCAGCGTCTTGCCCATGTCCCTGCACGTGTACGACACCACGCACGGGGGCTCTTCGTCCTGGCTGGCACTGCCCCTCACCGGAAGCATGCCCTGCGCAAGAAGCACGACACGAGACGTCGGATGGGAAGTCGCACAAAGGCAGCCACTGTGGAATCAATGGCAGTGAATTGGTCAAGCGCAAGATATAAAAGGTTGGATTGAAGAAATCTTGGATGAGGGGCGGGTCGGATCACGCTTGATAACGTAAAAGGACGTTCGGAACAAAGATTTCCCGACGGGGTTAACTTTGACCACAGACGTCAAGCGAAGCATTCTCTCTGCTCAGGATATGGGCTGCGACTTTGTCAGTATCCCAGTGCTGCTGGTTGGCTATTGCCTGGCCGCTTGGCTCAGCGACGTGGTTCAGCCGGGGTTGTTCAGAGCTCATCCTCAACAACTCCACCAATGTCGACCACATGTCTTCTGAATGGCTGTTGAAAAGGCAGCCAAGACGCATTAAGGCAACTACTGCAACAGAAGCGATTTTGGGGCGGACCCGCCCGTTCAGTAGCCCACCTTGGCAGGTTTCACTTCAAACTGCAGCGGCGTGTCCGGCGTGAAGTTGGCTGTGAACGGCTCGGGCTCGTCCGTTGAGCTGCACAGCCACACGGGCACGTACGCCGTCTGGTCCATGTGGGCCTCAAGGAGCAGCACGCCCTCGGACTGGGGCTCCGTGGCGTGCAGCTCCAAGTTGAAGCGCCACCTGCCGCCGGTGGACTTGCAGACGATGAGGTGGGCCTCGGCGGAGAACATCTTCATGGGACGGAAGTGGAGGTTGTAGGACAGGGCGCCGCGGGGGGAGGGTAGAGTGTCGCCGGAGGACTCGATGTGGAGGGCGTCATGGAGGTTGTCCCTGTGGAGGAATTCGCAGCAGCTGAGCGGCGAAGAGCCGTTTCGTCCGAAGTGGACACGACGGGCGGCCGTCAAATGAGTTGGATGTTTGCGGCAGCGTGCTCTTTTTGGAGAAGATGATGCGAGTCTCTGCGAGTGCGGCTGAAACGCACACCATTGGAAAGCATGCAACAAAAAGTGCGCCCGGTGTCGCGTGTACGCGCAGAAGTGCAGAGTTTTGCAGAACAGAGAGTTCCAAGCTTATTATCCAAGCTTCAAATGGGCTCTGTGCGGCTAGAAGTGGTTTCGAAGGTTGCTTCCACAGCTGATAAAAAGATTTCAGCCATGTGGCTGTCAGCACCAAAAAATGGAGTGACGTGTCTGCGCTTTGGCACCGTCAGCCTAATGCCTACGACTCGAGTATCATGTACGGATACAATGTACACGCATGGACATACAATGTATGCACGTGCATGAACGTGTATCTCAGCGTCCTTCGGAGCTACAGGACTGGGTGCCTTCGACTTTAGGTTGCAGTCGTTGAACTACCACAAGCAGGTGGCGCATGAGCTTCATGCACACGATTAACCAATTCCATGTCACGCAAGCAAGAGCTGACAGAACTACACAGATGTGCAGGAGGGGATTTTGCAAGCACTGAATCCACGCATCTGGACGGCAGCATCTTCGGTGGGCCTCGATAAGTCCTCAACAATGGTCATTTCTGATGGAAGCATACGACCTGCGCACGCGTTTTCAATCGGGATTTTGGCAACCTACTTGTGCTGATCGGGGATGAGGACCTCGTGCGTGAACTCCTCGTTGCCGGTGATCTCCCCCAGGCTGGAAAGCTCCACGCTGAATGTCTCCTTCATCTCTTTCCTCGCCCTGCATTTGAATTTGAAGACCGCTGCCTGCGACTCGACCTCCGCCACGGCGCAAATTGGGTACCGCCAGAGCAGGCGCTCGCCGCTCACCGTTGCGGAGAAGCACAGTGTGGTGTTGACACGATCCAGCGACTTTGGAGAAAAGCCCACAGGCACCTTGGCGCACATATCCATCCAAAGCGACCACTCAGGAATGAACTGAAGATTCGTGGGCCGCACAAAGCGATCGCAGCAATTTGAAGACGACATTCGCTGCCTTCTATGTCTCCACCGACCCGCTTGTTTGCAGCCCGCAGCGACGACGGGCCTATGACTCACAGGCATTGAGTGCCAATCTCGGCGCTGTCGCATGAAAGAAAAAAACTTGGTCGACCAGGCCACTGCTTGTCGGAATTGCGCAGCCTTAGTCTCGTGGATTGGCGCTGCTCTTCCGCAATACGGTGCTACGACATTGGTGGCAAATTAGCCTCACTCATGCTTTACGCGGGACCTCGTGCGTCCCCCGTACCTGGATGTCAGAAAATGGAGGCACGCTTATGTCCTTGGTCTTGCGCGCGAGCAGCTTCAGCACCTCCTCGTCGTGTCCGTCCTCCAGGCGCACCTCGACGGTGGCGCTTTCGGTGAAAGGGTTGCACCAGGTCACCAGGGCGCTGTTGGTGGATCCCATGGGAGTGCTTATCAGGACTTCGTCAAATTCTGTGGGTTTCGTGCCCTGCAGGAATCGTGCGACGGTTTAGGAATCTTAGCGAGAAGGGAAAGGCTAAACAAGCCCACGGAAGCAATTGGAGCCACAGTCCACAGGCAGAATAATGCCATTTCCACGTTACCTCCCCGCTGCACATGTACTTGCAGGTGCCCGCGCCTTCGCTCGTCAAAGTCACCACGGCGCTCTCCTTCATGCCCAGAGAGCTGGGCGCGTACTCCACGACAAACTCCAAATTCTCGTAGGGCCCCGCTGGCGCCTGACTCGGCGCAACCGTGAAGTTACGTGCGTTGCTGCTGGAGGACGAGACAATGACCTCCCTTCCCAGTGGATTCTCGAAGGCCAAGGTGATCTTTGATGTCTTTCCGGCCTCCGCCTCAATATGGGGGACCACGCATGGAGCAACGGGATCCGCATGCATTTGCAGTTGGTACCAGAATTCTCCCACCTGGCGCGACGGAACACGATCTTGCTGGAAGAGCGGCCAAGGAGACCAGCTACAATTGCTAGAGTGGATTTCCCCTCCGCTCGTCGGGTAACGTGACACATGTAGCTTGCGTGCATGAGCAACACGTCTGCTCTGCCCAAACAAAATTGTCCCGTATGATTCGGTAAGCTGTTGGCGTGCAGATATGTAGTCAGGTGTTAGAGAATATCCCTGCACATTTGCAACTGTGAGTGTAGATGATGGTGACGAAAATCAATATCGAACGCAAAACAACCCTGCAGGTCTTTGATTCCCAAGGATCCGCTCAAAAGCGGCTAAAAATTCACTGGTTTCCGACACCGCCAAGAATAGTTATGGAAAAGGGGGGCTCGTATCCCTTGCCCCCCCTCTGTTCGGCTAACGTTGTATCTTCAGGATGAGTTCGCCGACCTTCGGAAGAAATTTTTTCCATGCAAGAGCTTGGCCCGTGCGCTCCAAGAGAGTCCCCCCACCATAGTGGACTTTTGCTGTTGGATAGAGGAAGCATGTGCATGGGCAACATGGCAGCATGGCGTGCGTATGTTGATGCGCGATTTGGGAAAGCTAACAAGTGGATCAGAGGTCGAATTTGTGTAGATTGGACGACATTTAGGTCGAAAGGTAGAACAGGCGTCATGGCCCATATGGTGCCAGGGGCCATATGGGCCATGATCCCGTTTAGGGCGGAGTATGCAATGACACAGCCGCTTTCACAATGGCAACATTTACATAGATTGTGCGCATGCTGGATAATGAGGATGGCTTGTGAATGCGTTTGCTGCGATACAACGCACGTACACAAAGCGGTTATGTACTGGACGCGGCTCTGTCCAAGTCTCCGGGCTTGTCATTGGCGATAACAAGACGTGAAACACACACATCCTTGACATGAAAATGTGGCTGTGGCAACACCATGTACGGCGCGCACGTATACAGAATTTATGTTAGCAAATATTACTTATTAAATGAAAATAATAAAAAAATAATATATACTATATGTGTTATTCCGACATTTAAACGTCGGAATCGGAAATTTTCGGTACTAATTTTCCCATATGTAAAACAAATTTTCATGTTTCCGACGCTATTGCCTAGAATTCATACAAATTATTTGGTGTTCACCTCATCACTGATGAGACTGACGCTGCCCTGCGCATCGCCAGGAATGAGAGGCGCGTAGTAGAACACAAACGTGGTCGTCTCGTTGGGTCCCAGCTGGAGAGATTTCGGACCAACGAGAGAGTCATCTGAGTAGTTGGCAGCCAGTTCCACCTGCAGCATTCAATGATAAAAGATCATCGCCCATTACGGCAAAAGTTGCTTCATGCTTCACAGCTGGCACTGAGAATGGCGTACCGTTGGCCACAGCGATCAAACGCTGCTTCGGCTGCGGTTGTCGTCAGTCGGCTTCTCCAAAACTGCATGACCAGCCTGGCCGCGAGGTTGAAAAGTGAAAAGGTAGGTTTACTCAAAGGCAAACAGCATACAAAGTAATAAAACTAGTAGTAAGAAAATGGCTGAATGGCACTATTTTGGTGCACCTTCAGATGCAGAAAATGTTCTCCAGTGAACGGGTTTCCGCAAGACAGCTCGTGCGGATACGTATCCATTCCTGCTGGTCGGGCGTGTAAGTCATTTCGTCGATTGACTGACATGTTGGCTCATATAGTGGTGCCGGTATCGTGTGATGTGCTGAATTTGGGTGGAGCTTTGGGGAAATGCATGAATGTGACCGCGGGAAACGGAAGGACATAACTATGTCTTTCTTACCACCCACAATGCTCATTGGTTTTCATTCTGTTGAAAAGATAATCCCGAATTCCCTGGCTTCAACAGTATTTCGCAACGGGCAAAATGAGTCACGCGCTGAAACACGCCACATTTGGTCGTTGTATGGCTGCCAAACCAACGCGGAAACAAAGTACTGCTTCCGAAACACGAGCGCAGGAGCGCCGAGACGGTGTCTGCCATCACCTGCTTTCCGAGGGGATTCGACACCACGATTTCAACCGCCACGGCATCTCGAACGCGCGCCGACACGTGGATCAGCCCCAGCTCCGGCGGCTCCGAGGCGCGGACCTCCACGCTGTACCAAACATAGTACCCCTTGCCGGTCTCGAACGTCAGGGTGCCGTGGTACACGCCAGACCTGGGCGGGCAGGCCGTGAACTTGTACAGGGCGCTGCTGTTGGCGTCCACCTTCAGGGCCTCCTTGCCGGAAACGAAGTCGAAGTCCGAGTACACGGTGTACTCCAGGGGCTTGGAGGTGGTGTTGGGGACGGCGACCTTCTTGGAGAGGCACGTGCGGGCCTGGCACTCCACCACCACGTGGCCCTCCGCCAGGGGGTCCTCAGCCCTCCCCACCAGGTTGTAGACGTTCTTCTCCTGCGCGTTCTGGATATCCAGCTCCAGGGCGCCCTGGTAGTCACCCACCCAGGGGGCCTTGAAGGTGACGTGGTACGAGCCGCTACCCCCTGATCCGAAGACACCGGTACGTGTATGGTACATGTATGGTACATGTATGGTACATGTGTGGTACATGTATGGTACATGTAGGTACATGTATGTATGCTCAGTGGCCGCATGCGTCAAACTTGCACATAATTGTGTGTAGCTTTTGTTGAGCATTGTAATGGGCAATTGCTATTCGCGCTGGAATGATGCTCAGGCAAACGTGCGAAGCGATTCGGTTCATTCCCTCAGCTTTCCAGCGACGCTATCCCGGACTGTTTGCAAACTCGCTTTCAAGCTGCTGCCTGCCGGCGCTGTGAAATTGAGCGCCGGACGTGTTTGGCGCCGCAGCGTCATGGTTGACGCAGAAGCGAACCAAATGCGCGGCGGTTGACTTGGTGTTCCATTTATCCATGGGAAG